GTTGGTGTTGGTGTTGGTGTTGGTGTTGGTGTTGTCGGCATTCGGCGTTGGTGTGTGTAATGAATATAAACCAAAATTTTAAAAGATTAATGGTTTGAAGATTTACATTTTACAAAACAGCTAGTGGTATTTTTATTGAACAACTCCATGAAAATGTTATGATTTTACAAAAGAAACTCTCTAAGTGAATATTTAATGCATTGGAAGACATTACACAGGCATTTCCACTTTCCATACATTCTGTTCAGTATAATCAATGCGTAGTTTCAATTTATAATCAAAGTAACACACATAGATGGCAAAGGCATTAAAATTGTTATTATTTTTATAATAGTTAGAACTTTTCTCATTCATCTATGACAATCAACATTATTATAATAAAAGGCACAGATCTACAAAAATTACAAAACTACAAAATGTTCACAAAGACAATACATAATATAAATATGAGAATACACTTCTACTAAAAAAACTGTGGCTTATTCCTATGATCTCTTGTTTCTTATGCCATGCCAATACACAAAATCAATCAGGGTTTTAGGTATCTGGTTCTCAAATTGAATGTTGTAATCCATAACAGCCTTTGCAGCCATACACCTAAGAGTCAACGGAATCTGACTTTGGAATATCTGACACGCAGCATCTGGAACAAATTGCATGTAGTTTGCAAATAATTATTCCAAATCAATAGCTTTTTCTAAAGAAAAAATGCACAAACCTGTGTAGGCAATATCTATTGGCGCATTCCCGAAAACATTAACACAATCAACATGTGCTCCTGCACCTAGAAGTAAAAAGATTACCTCGGACGCCACAGATCCGTTTCTGAAATATGAAAATAATACAGAAATTAGCAGCGATGGAAATGGTGGTTGGAAGTGATGGAAATGGTTTCTGAAGTATGAAAATAATACAGAAATTAGCAGGGATGGAAATGGTGGCAGCCATGGTATATAGGAGTTGTAGGGCCCTGGTCGCCGGGCCCTGGCCAAGAGTTTGAATCGCGCGACGTAGCTGCTTTCCTTGGGCGGCGCTACGTGGAACACTTCACAGAAATAGTGCAGTTACACGTTTGAAAAGCCAGCAGATTCAGGATTGGAGCGATACTTGTTAAAGATGCATTTAGAAAAGCTCACAAAAGTAATTATTTAGCTATTCGTAAAACAATTTACGAGGGCAAAAGTAAAACATAATCTTGTAATTTATGTGGTGCTAATGAGTATAATTGGGTTACAGCTTTTGTAATTAGAGTTTGGAATCATGACTGGCTCGGATCACGACCTGAGGGATATTCTGGAGCGATTTGGATGTTTCCATTGGCGGCGAATTCTCTGCCACTTCGTCGGAGGGGTTTAACGGCAAATCTAAGGCGTTCTACAGTCCGGAGAATACGCCGAGACGGTTCCCGTAATTCTCCATGCTTCAGAGGTGATTGCAGGAAGCAGACGACCCTGCTACTATAAAATTTTCGATCAGAGAAGAAATGTTTACAGAACAGTTTATATAAATGGCTTTCATAAATTTTTTAATGAATTCAGTAAAAGTAAAATAAAATGATTTCAGTTGAAGTGCAACTTTCGGATAATTTTACCAGCCTATTGGATCTTGAAATAGTGTGAATATTATACATTGTAACTGAAGTCAACTTGATTAAGAATCAGTCAGAATAGTGTTGAAGAATTTTAAGTGTTTAAATGTAACAAAATTAGAAGTCATATGTTCTTGCTATTTCACTGAAATTGCCAAAAGGTACAATTATAGAATTCAGGAAGAGACTGTTACTGAGAAGGAGAAATTTCTGAAGTGATTGATTTCACGTGTTTTCTGTGTTGTGTGTGTGTTTTTTAAGAATTTTAGAATTTCATGTCTTTGGTTTTGTTGTAATTGTGTGTTAAAACCTTGGTGAATATGTGTTCAAGTTTATAAGGGATATCTTGTTGCTTCTTGTTCAATTTACAATTTTCGAGTACGTCCTACGTCCTCTCGGTCTTCAAGATCCAGGTAGTGAAAACAATGTGTGTACACTGTAGAGTGACAAATTTGGTAGAGACAAACCACGTTGAAACAAGAAATAACTTTATATAGTCATGTGATTACGCTGTAAGTGACGCTTGGCTTGGCATAGTAACGCGGTAAAAATGCATCGACACAACGAGCATGCACTCGTGCTAACAGAGCAATGTTACTGACTGAACGTCATATAAACAGGGCGCTTGACGGAAAGACATGCGTGAGCTATTGCGCATCATATCCGGCTTCAGCCAATGAGTTTCAGGCACAAGTTTGCGTCACAAAATTGCCGGGAATTTCAAATGCAGCCACATACCAAAACATTTATCACCTTGTTAAAAGTCCTTGAAACAGATATAAGAAGCATTCTTATATTTCAATGGCATTTTTTATTTCAATTACACCTTCATCGGGATATTTTTCGTTGAAAATTGAAGCATCGGGTGTAACAACGTTGTAAGCGATCTGTTGTAATCTTCTCCTCTCCTGTAACATTTACATTTTCCGGGCTGGTACGGGGTGGTCCAGTTGGCATTGAAGGGCTAAACGTTTCGCCCATGTCTGCGGGGGACATCCTCAGTGG